CAATTAAATGCAATTTATAAACACGCAGAATTTCAGTTCTGAAACTTCTTATTGTAACTTCCTAATACATACAATCAGTTGTGATTTGTAAAATTAGAAAACAAAATCTGTAAATATATGTATTGTATCTAAATTAATATTGTTAATTAATTTATTTAATAATTAAATTGAATAAAACTGTATAGAATAAATCAATTAATAATATTAATTTTATTTAAGTAAAAAACTATTGAAAACCAATATTCGGCGATTCTTAGTAATTAATATCTTATTAACTATTACGAAAATTGTAAAATGGTAGAAGACTTTTCGAATCAATTAAGTCCTCTCTACACCAGCACATGAAATATTTAGCGATTATTATGGGACACTCTGTATAGGCACACACTTTGCGATGTATGTATTTTGTAATGAAAAACAATAGTAACTATTTCAGTTTTAATTGCACATTATTTATTTAAAGTAACACAGCATGATTAAAGACATAATGACAGATATTAGCTATTATGAAAATAATTATGTCAATTTTAAATTATGTTCAAGTTCTTCAACTGAATTGAATGATTAACGATTTCATTACAGTTTAAACTGAAATTTCATTACAGTTTAACGATTGTCTTTTAGTTTCTCCAGTTGTCGGAACGTTTTGATTTTATTCAATCATTACATTTATGATTTTATAAAATACACCGCACAACTTTTGTTTAAAAATTTTTGTTCCATCTTTTATACTTTCGACGACATTCGCCTCGTATGAAAAATATCGTTTTTTTTTAAAGGGGCGTTTTATCCCTTAAACATGAGTTAGCGCACGTATTAAAAAATACGTGTCTCTTAGATTTTCGTGTTTTATAACATATTTCATGTAGAATTAAATCGTTTTCGGAATTATGAAACTTCCCTTGTGAGTAATGAAATTACATTTTCGGGGTAACAGTAACGATTTCATTAGTTTCTTTTATTGTTATTTTATTTTAACTACATAAAAGTTTAGTTGTAATTACAGCTCTAGAAAACAGAGATGAAACATTAACGATCTGATTGGCTGTCTAAATCACGCGATCACGACCCCTTTTTTTTCATTGTATTCACAGTTCGCACGTGTAAACTAACACGTATGTATAACTCTGTATATATAACATGTGATGATGAGACCACGTGAGATTCTACGCTAATAAATATCTTTGTGGAAAAAAGATTATATGATTTAATCTTTACAGTATATTTAATTTCTTAAAATAAAAATTTTTTGTGTCATATCTCACAAATTAAATATATGTTTATAATGCAAATTACAAACATTACTATTCTTTTATTAATATATAATTTTACCCTTAGGGTGTCCACAATCTTTCGTATGTTGTTCCTTTTCTTCAAAATACTGCACTTGGTTAAGTAAGTGTTTGTACTTACTTAACTTTTCCTTCTTTTTAAATATACAACTTCATAAATGTTTTTCAAAGATGTAACTTCGTTCCTAGAATTTTTATTTGTGCGCAAAAGTGTTGAAAGCAATCGAGCTGTAGGCAATAATACATGTATGCAATCGAACTGTAGGCAAATGTGATGTAGGTAATCGATTTGTAGGCAAATACAACCATCTCAAAATTTATGACAATATTGCAAACCACATAAGGAAAATCCTGTTTAAACACGGTCGGGTTTAACAGATACGAATCTAAATACGAATCAGGGATCCTGTGTAGATAAAGACGAGTTTCTTCAAACTCGTAAAAGCAAGTTGAAAAATGTTTTCTCGTTAACAGCAAGAAAGTGAAATAAATGCAGGACGACAAAGTGTAGCTCCTAATTCTTTGTATTTTTCTAGATTGTCGATCATAAAGTTTAAGCAAATACTGTATAGTGTCTAGACGAGAGAACTCACGTTCAAGTAATAAAGGAAACCGGCGATTGAAAAAAAGAAAATATGAAAATTTGGACGAATCATAAACCAAATCGTTTGGAAGGGACGATGACTAAGATCTCCTCCCTTTAAAAATGGAGAAGGTTAAACAAAACCAGCTAATAGGTGACTGTAAATCCAAAACTACTACAGAAAATGATGATGTACCAATAAGTTTTCAAGAGATTAAACTTGTAGTGCGCGTGGAGCAATTTTAGAATTAGTTCCCCCATAATAACTCGGGAAACAAATTTTCTACTTACAAGTAAACCTACGGAGGTGTCACTCACCGATTTTAATGAAAATTTGCATATTTGTAGAACTTTGAAAAATATTTGACACGTATTTTTTTTTATCTGCAATGGTCCACTCTGAAGGGTGAAAATTTACCCCTTAAGGGTAAGGGATAGATAATATATTAGGTGAAATAAGTTGAAAATTTTAAAAAGTAAAATATGTTAGAGGGCTTTAGGAATTGCTGAAACTGAATCTTATGTCAAAAGTAAGAAATTAAAAATGGCGAACCCAATATGGCGTCCATATACATAAATTATCAAAATGAGTAAATTTTAAGAATTCTTGTCATCACAGAATTAAAATTTCCGACTTTTGGGTCGAAGATTTTAAATATTAAAGATATAAATTCAAAATGGCGATCTCAATATGGCAGCTATATACTATTAAAATTTATAATTTTTGCAAAAAATATATTGAACAAGGTCCTTACCTTTCAAGATGCTTTTTTACAGTGAGTCCCCTTGCCTCTCACCTTTCGGGGTACAATTTTTTTTCAACTCTGTTGAAAAAAACGTAAACATCAGACCGCTCCTATCTACGTATGCGTCAGTGAAAACGGAAAACGTTTGTGTACGCCCTCCGCGTCTACTCATGATTACACGTGGCACACACACACACACACACACACACACACACACAGAGGTAGAGAAAACTTTAAATTTCATATTTTTTACATAAGATTTAGTTTCAACGACTCCAAAAACCCCTTAACCCATTTTACTTTTTAAAATTTTCAACTTTTTTTTATTTCATATTATACGAAATAAGTATCTGGACGATATATTGGATCGGCCATTTTGAATTTTATCAAGAGACACGGTAGTGTTTCGCGCC